ATCCCTGTTAATAATTGGGAGCACTTTTAGGCTATGTCTACACTGGCAGGTTCTTGCGCAAGAACACATCCACACTGCCATGTGCTTTTGTGCAAGAGCATCCAAGGCAGGGTGGACGCTCTCTTGCACAAGAAAGCTCGGATGGCCATTTTAGCCATAGGGCTTTCTTGTGCAAGAAACCTCTGCCGCGCATCCATACTGCCCTCTTGCGCAAGAGGGCTTATACTTATTAGAAAAGAGCGTAGCTCTTGCACAAGAAGCCCTCTCTTCCGACGCCGTACTGTAAATCTTCTTGCGCAAGAGCGGGAGGACAGTGTGGACGCTCCATGGGTTCTTGCTCAAGAACGGCCATTCTTGCGCAAGAATCTGCCAGTGTAGACATAGCCTTAATGTGCTTAGTCTCTTGTTAAAGGAAATTAAAGGAGCTACTGTAACAGCATACCATAACTATAAGTCAATAGTTGCTGACAGATAAGAGCTGCATAAGTAAAGTACATGAGCTCTTGATAAGCCACTGAACTCCTCTTACAATTAACTGGAAAAGGGAATTGAGAAAAAAGTGTATTGTACCCCTATAACCTGACTCAAACTATTATATATGGCCAGTTTTTAAATAAAATCAATAGCTTCCAAGTTTAGGCATTTAAAAAGTAAGTTTGATAACTCATTAAAAAGAACAGACCAACTCAACAGCATCACAATCCATACAAGCCTTCGTGTCAGAGACCATTCTCATTAGCAATCCTCACACAAAATTAGTGACATTAAGAACAAAGGTACAGCCATAAATATTTTATTTCTTTATTTTACGAGGCAGTGAAGATGAATATTATATTCCTCAGAATGTGCTAGGATTGATAAGCCCCTGACACAAATCAGCATTTTTTTCTTTTCACAGAACAGATAGACCATAATACAGAAGTTTAAATTTCTTCAACTTCAGGGGGTAGTTGAGTTAGTCTGTTACAGGAAAAAAAAACACAATAAATGGTCTGGTAGTACTTTATAGACTAACAAAACATGTAGATGGTATCATGAGCTTTTGTGGGCACAGCCCACTTCTTCAGATGACCAGAGTTATGAGTAAGGGGTATGAAAACTCAAAATAAATAGGAGTGGGGAAGGGGGGGGGGGAGAGAGAGGAAAAAAAGGAAAAAGGAAGGGGTGAGAGAGACAGGGCATCATTAAGTATCTGGAGAATGGGTACTTGAACCTAAGCAGATCAAAGTAAAGCATCTATTTATTTACTTTGATCTGCTTAGGTTCAAGAACCCATTCTCCAGATACTTAATGATGCCCTGTCACACACACCCCTTCCTTCCTCTCCCTTCCCCTCTTCTATTTATTTTCATTTTTCCTCCCCCTTCCCCTCTTCTATTTATTTTCATTTTTCATATCCCCTACTCATAACTCTGGTCATCTGAAGAAGTGGGCTGTGCCCACAAAAGCTCATGATCCCATCTACATGTTTTGTTGGTCTGGTAGTACTTTATAGACTATTTGTTGTTTTTAACCCCAACAACATGCCTCAACTATGTTCTGGAAGGATGACCTTAGAGTTCAACAATGCAGCTCATTCTCTAAGCACAGCCACCACCTGACCTACCTGCAGAATTCATCAAGAAGGGTGTCGCACAGGAACACATTTAATAACTATTTTGTGATGGAAATAGCATTCTATGAGAGCTGGATCGACATTTCAACCACAATACCTACATTTCATGACTGAATTAGAGAGACAGACAGAAAAGTTAAATGTGCATTTTCTGCATGTCAACTTTGTCCCCCCCCCTCCCTTCTATAATATTGCTGACAGTATTGTATTAGGAAGAAGTGCAATTAGAATTCTAAGGCAACATTTTAGCACTCTAAATCTGTCTCTAACAGTTTTAATTTTGGAGACAAAAATATTAATTGCTTTTTATCAGTTATACTTCTAATTTATATATTATGCTATTAATGTCTTTAAAAAGACACATCCTTGCCAGTTTTTAAAGGGATGTGTTTAATCACATTGACAAGTATCGTATTACTTAATGGTTTCTAAGTTTGCAGGGGGAAGAACAATCTAAATCTGCATGGAAATGTTGCAATTTACTACAAAGTTAAGCACTACAAAGTCAAAGATGCACTGATGCTATATATATATGTATATATATATTTTAGGTGTCAACAGCATGAGTTGGGTTAGAAAGGGCAAAGTGTAAAATGGCTTCTCTTATGCTGACATGTAAGTGTTCTCCCTTCCAGGTGACGATAAAGTCGTCAGCCTGCAGAAAACACTCAGGAAACTTGCATTCATCAGCACATTAACAAGCAGTGTCACAAGTGAGATGGTTTCGGGAAATAAAACAAACGGCATGTTCTCGTACCAAATATGGCATGTTTGATAAACCAGATTGATGGTCTTGTCAAATCACAGTAGGTAAACAGTGACAATTTTTATTTAATACATACATACGAAGTATACCATTCATTTCATTTTATTTCCTGAAATGGCCAAGCCCTGTAGTAGAAAAGAGGAGATATTTTCTGACAGAAAATTTAAAGTGCTTTAAATTAGACTAAAGACCATCTCTGGCTTAATCCTGTATGAAGTACAAATTTTAAATGTGTTTAAAATAAACAGAGATTAAAAGAGACATGGTTGGTTCTGCAATTTGACATAAAAGCCAAATCTGCACAACTACGAAGGTACAGATCATCTTTACTTTGAAACAACATTTTAACAGTATGGAATGGATATTATGGAGGTCAAAGCACCATCACCTTCCATAGACTCTAGTGAAATACTTTGATCTGTTTAGTCTTCTATCAGGCCCTAACTTTACAGGATTGAAAATATCTGTATTTGGCTATGGACTTTTCTGCAATCATCACTGAGCACATGCACATCTTGCTGGAATAATACAATAAATCAATACAAAATATTAGGAACATGACTGCTATATGAAATTAAAGACATTTGACTAAGAAATTACTTATGCATATGTATCTTTTACCTAAACAATATGTAGTATGTATGTTAGGAAAGCAGAAAATAAGTTTAATTATGGAATAATGATTTGTTAAAGAAATAAATCACAAAAATGCAATACTATGCAGTTATTCTGCTTCATGAAAGTAGTATAGTAGATGAATTTCTACAGGCAATAAACTAAGTAATTCTTTCAGTTATACAGAAGATAACATGTAGCAGTTTCCACATAATTTAAGTCTAGATGCCATAGCATATTGCTGTGGGGAAGCAGGGTTGCTACAGCAAAACAACTTCCAATATATTTTTCCCTATTAGGCTCTGCTCACCCTGGGGCTTCCACAGCTCCAATACCAAGGGACTGCTGGGAGGCCATTGTCTGAGGGCTGCTGCGGGTGGGCTGCAATGCTTCTCAGGCACCGATACAGTCATAGCTCCAGGATGCCAGGGCTGCTATGGCTCCTCTCCCCGGGCTGCTGAACTGTTATTCCGGGATTGCCGCAGCTTCCCAGTTCCAGTGCTGCAGGGCTTGGGGCATCAGCCATGACTCCGCTCCCCAGGGCCACCAGGGCTCCATTCCTTGGAGCCGCCAAGGATTCTGCAGCTTTGCTATCCTGGGTTGCCAGAGCTGCAGTGGATCAATTGCTCTGGAGCCACCGGGGCTCCGCTCCTCAGGGCCACAGCTCTGTTGCCCCAGGGCTGCCATCGCCAACCCCATAGACACTCAGCCCTCTGGTCCAGGGGCTCTCTGGTTCAGCAATATCTGTGGTCCGATATTGCCAGATCAGAGCGTCCCAGACAAGAAAGGCTCAACCTGTAGCTGCAATACATTTGACCTTTCTGTAGACATGCTATTCACAGCACTGCCTGGAGTAAGAGTGAGACACAGCAAGTAATCCCATGTGGACTGGAGGGTTGCTAGTGCAATGGAGGAACAGCCCAACAACGTGTGGAGGATTGCATCCCCATGATTTTGCTATGTAACAAAATTGGTAGGGAAGGTGAGTGGTACCCATTCAGACAGTCTGATGTCAATTACACCAACACCAGTGGACAAAATTTGATAAGGTTTACAAAAACCATAACAAAACATGTTCTTTGTAAAAACCAAAGGGACACTGATAACTCCTGAGAACAGACTGTTACATTTTTCAAGGACACTGTATGTTCTCTTCTTGTCTCCAACATACCACCACACCAGTAGCCTTGCAGGCAACATTCTACCCTATCTAAACAAAGGAACTGATTTGTTTTAGTGTGTTCTGAGTAGGTGATTTGAGAAAGTTTGATTTAACAAGTGGTAATAAAACAAGCATTAACAAATTTATAATGGTCAATGGAAAAAGAGTTTACCGAAAGTAAAAAAGGAGGAACAGGCAGACATCAGAGGCAAACAACATGGCATAGATCAGTATAATATTTAACAAAACATGTGAATTAAAAATCAGTGTAATTGTTTCAGTGCATGTTTGAGCCCATTGAGATGAGAATTCCACTGGGTTTAGTTAAAGGTGCAATTTTAACTGATTTAGCGAAACTAGTGCACAAAAGACTGGGTGGACACACCCAGTTAAAGCCAGACATATTTCAATTTCATTTACTTCCATGAAAAACAGGTTGAAGCTAAAAAGTAGTAAGGCACTTATTAAAAATAAGAAATGATACCGTGCTCTTACACAGCACTTTTCTTAAATTAATAAATGTTCATAAATGGAAAGAAGAGTGTCCACACAGGGGGTTGCACTCATTTAATTAAACCAATACAAGTTTGTGAACAGACATGGGTAGGTCAACCTTGGTATCAAGCATTAACTTTTTATCCATAAGAGGCCCATATTTCTCACTGATACTGTGATTAACTAATTTCCGGTTTTTTCTTTATAATTTTAGAGACAAGAAACCAACTGCTGAATTAGTGTTAATTGCCTTTTAATGATGCGAATGAAATAACAGGATACCCCCCTAAGTGACTACAATATTTTCCTTGAGGGTCATCTGCTCCATTTATTCAAGAATGTCATACCTGTTGAAGTTAATGTCTGGATAACTAGAATACTCAGACTTCATCTTGGCATTGCGTCGTGGAAAAGTGCAGAAAAAAGCATTGGCTAGAAAACTAGCAATCTGCTCCTGTGACATTGTGATGGAGTGATTCATCTTTTGTTTCAGTAAAGGTATTGGCTATGAGCAGGGAACAAACAGAGAGAGAGAGAGAGAGAGAGAGAGAGAGAGCAGGAGCCAGTGCTGGGAAGGAGCTGGCACCCACTACACAACCCACCAGGATTACAAAATTACATTTGCTAAATTAGAGCAAGAGTAATTTAGGGCCATTGGTTGGTCCTTAAATCAGCAGCACCATTAAAGTCAAGGGCTGTTCAGCTAAGATGATTGGGAACAAGCTTGTTTGACAAATAGCAGATTTGTAATCAACAACAATACGGCCAACAAAACACAACTTATCAGAAAAAAAACCCAGGCTCAATAGGTAAAAATAGATGGATTGTACAGGTTGGACCTCCCTGGTCCAGCACCCTTGGGACCTTGACCGGTGCCAGATGAGGGATTTTGCTGGACCGGGGAGGTCATTTTTGGACCCATGCCACTGGGGCCCCCAGCCCAGCCACTGGGGGTCCAGGTAGCTGCGCACACCGCCCGCCAGGGCTCCCTGAGCAGTACTGTGTGCTGGTCAGCAACACTCTGGTTCTCCCAACCGTGCTGGGCAGCCACACTCCAGGTCTCCCAACCATGCCAGGTAGCCCCACTGCCACACATTGGGTGGCCCCGCCGTCAGCTCCCTGCAGACTGTCTACTACTCTGCTGGCTCCACGGGGATCCTTGTTACTTGCCCTCCACTGGGCCTCTAGTCCTGCAACATCCATGCCATACCATGAATGTTTGCTGGATCAGAGCATCCTGGTTAAGAGAGTGTCTACCTGTGGTAATAACCGGGCAATCTTAAAGTCAAGTAAGATGTAATATTTGTTCTTTATTCCAGCAGCTGGATTCTAAAGTTATCCCTGGGATGCAAAGGTTCACTGGTGGTTCACTATTCTGTCTCAGCTATTCTTGTCAGGCCTGCCTTATTTTCTGTATCTCACACACTGGTGTCATGATTGTATCAAGGTTGTCATGTAAAATCTGTGTACCACCTGGCAACATAATGACACAATGCAATGTTTTGGGGACATGTAAGAGGCATATACAAAGGATTATAAATACGTTCCAGAATTAAGTTATTAAAATGTGTTTGGTAAGGAATTCTTAAAACGCAACTGTTCCAAAGGAATATGATTCTGCTTGATTGAATGTGTCCACAATGAAAAGTAGGCAAGATGTGACCAGAGACAAAGAAAAGCACATTTATGTGCAAGATAAAGCAAGGAGAGCAAGTGGAGAGAGCTGACTATTTAACAATCCCAATGGGAGATGAAGATTACACTCCAGAAACCCTTCCTAACTTCTAAAACAAGGTCAATGAACTTTGAAAAGATATAAGGGGAGAGAAAACGCTATTTTGGCATCCTTCACCTGAAGGGCAAAGGGACTGAACACTCTGAAATCTCTAAAGCATCCTGGCCAGAGATTCTGGTCACTCATGGTGGAATACAGACTTGAGAAACACTTCTCTCAAAAAGAGAGTTTCAGTTTGTTGAATCGGGTTTAGTCTTAGAAGTCTATTTTTACTTCTGTTTGCTTGTAAACTTTCTTCCTTATTCCTTATACTTGGCACCATCTACTTCCATGCCCTTTTGTTAAATAAACTGCTTTACTTTTATTATAAAACCATTCAGACTCTTTAAAGGAACAACAAATTTAACATGTCTGAATGTCCACTGAGGAGACTGAACATTGCAGGGAGATGTCTTTGGAGAAGATGGGAAGTGTGTGGGGAAGTTTGTAAGCTGCAAAGATTCGGCCTGACAGAGTTCTGAAGAGTTTACTGGCAAGACTGACAATCTGGTGTGTCAGGCAGTTGTCACACTTCCTAGCAATAGCGAAACTCTCACCTGCTGAGGCTGAGAGGATTAATACTAACTCTTGATTCCGGGAACCTCAGGATATTGTCACAATGCTGTTGCCTGGTTTAAAGAAAATGTATGATTATAGTAATCACTCATTTACAGCTGTAAAATGAAGACAAATGTCAATTACTACAGAAGATGTAATTACTCAAAGATTTATTTTGACTTCATCTAATTTTGTGTTTTGGACATCTAGAAGACTGAATTAAAGAACTCTCAAGAACAAGCAACATGCACCATTATTATTATACATTTATTTTATGACTGGCTTATCAATTTGAAATGTTACTTCTTTCTCCCTGTCCTATAAAATATGTGCAGTACATAAACTAGAAATGTTGTCCCTTTATGATATGCCCAAGGAAGAGGATGTTGGATAAAAAGGAAGAGTTGGGAAGGAACTTAATTTTCTATTTTCTCTCCTGTGAGGAATGTAGTGGACTGGAGTGGTCACCCACTGACCCAGAGTGGGAGGTGCCCTCCCAGAGCCTTGGTGGGCCGCACCTGGCCAGTAACCAGGGAGCAGAGCCAGAAAGATAAAAGGCCTGCCAGAAAGGCCAGTGAACGAACCCCTGGCCACTGAAGGAGTAGCTGAGAGAAGCTTCCCCTGCACACTCACTGGAGGAGCAGGACCCAGGAGAAGCTGGCTTACAACTCCCAGACTGCCTGGATGGTCTGACATGGGCCTACGACACTGGGCAGGCTTAGAAGTTAGAGAGCAGGGCATGCCCGTCCCCCAGGCAGAGTCCCTTCAGAAAAATTGAAAATCCAACAGTTTACAAGTACTTACTTGTAAAAGGAGTGCTTGCTACAGCTAAGGCTGGTGCATGCTGCTCCAAGCACTGTCACCGCCAGTAAGAAGGAACTGAAGTGGGAGGGAAGGGGCATATAGGGTATAGCAGTACCCTATATAGTGCAGGATGCATGTGCCTCTCCAGGGGGTACTGGGAAACCCCACCCTCTATGGGTACTGCTGAGAGAAAAACTTCTGGCACCAGCGCATGTGGCAGGCACACACACCTAATGTTGAATGAACATGAGCAAGCACTCAAATAACTAAAATATCTTTACAAAGAATATTTTTGTTTCCCTGTCTATAAGGTCTAATCAGACCGCAGTAGGATTTGGGATGGTCTAAACATAAAACACTACAGCAGCATAGCTGCATCACTGTAGACACTACCTACTCTGACAAGAAGGATTCTTCCATCAAGTGTAAGTAATTCACCTCCCTGAGAGGCAATAGGGAGACTGACAGAAGAATTCTCTTGTTGTAGTGCTGTCTACATATGGACGTAGATCAGTTTAACACCACTAAAGAGTGTGGATTTGTCACAGCCCAGCCTATGTAGTTAAACTTACCTAATTTTCTAGCACAGTCCATGTCTTTTGAGTCTGCTCCCTATTCTGACAAGTCACTTGCTCATCAGAAATGGACATGAAATGACTGTGGAGATTGAAGACAGTCCCCCCTCCTTACCTGAACACCAAATATGGCCTTTAAAATCACGGGAGTAATGTTAACAGATGAACTAAGTATATTCTGTAAGTTTTCTCCTCCACAAAATGTTCTACAGTGGGAGAGAGCCTGATGGATGTCAACTACCCAGGGAAAAAAAACTTAAAAGGGGCTATAACAAAAGGAGACTCTCCTTTGTGGCACTTCCACGTGAGAGTTCTGCCAACAGATTAGCAGGGGGTCATACACTACAAAGAATCTTTAGGAACAAACATCTGGTATGTCTAAACAGAAGACACAGGGAGCGTCAATAATTTGAGCAGACATTCCCAACACAGATTTAATCTATCTAGTTTGGGTTTTGGAGCAACAAAAACATGGCAACAAACGCTTCAGCAAGAGTCTTATGAGCTCAAGACCCTTGGTAATTACTAGCCCTGAAAGTCTGCACTGAAGCTAGCTAGATTCAAGTTAGCTCATGTATGTCTACTTGAGCTGGCATCAGACTCTGTGGCTGCATACAAACAGATGCTTAATGGAAGCATCTCTGAAAACATATCTTCTTTCCCCTCCTCCCTGCAAGCAACACACTTACAGTTAGAATAGGCATGGACAATAACCTGGCTGCTGCCACTATATTTACCTTCACGGTCTCAAGTACAGGAGAAAGCAGCTCCTATTGGCCACAGAAGGTGGTTCCCAGCCAACAGGAGTAGTAGGACCACGTGCCAGGACTGGAGCAAAGGCTGCCCGCGGTGCTATTTTTAGTACCACAGTCCTGGTCCACACAGGCTGCCCTGGCTCCAGCTGGAGTAAAGCAGTAGCCTCGCAAGGCCCGTTCCGGTGAGGCTGCCCCAGCTTGAATGCGCCTCGTGTGGCTGCCGCTTGATTCCACTTGGAGCTGGGACCACCTGCGGGGACCCAGACCATGGTACAAAAATAGCACCATGGGCAGCCTCTGCTGCAGTGCCAACACCTAAAGAGCCTGATCACTGCCCACCCCGCAGCAACCTAGCCGGGCTCTGCGCAGCTCCTGCCGGCGCTCCAAAGCAGCCCAGAGGAGGAGGCAGTGCCACTGGACCAGGACACCGTGCAACAGAGGTGGTCCTATGGGGAGCGGGGGGAAGGAAGGTGGAAGAGAGAAGAGGAAAGGGCCGTGTGCCATCGGATGCTGGCCAGGTACCTTATGAGCCCTACTGGAGGCGAAGGGGGAGGAGACTGCTGCACTGTGGGAGGAGCAATGGCATGGTGTGGTGCTTCTTCCCGCAACCCGGTGTCCCCATCAAGTAGTGAAATGTCCAATGGGGCTTTCTGGGACATTTCACTACTTGATGGAGCACCAAGACAGAGTATTTAAATTCGGGACATTCCTGGAAAAATCGGGACAAATCGTCAGCATATCTGTGCAGGACAGCCACTTTACAAGTAGGGCTGTAGGAATTCCAGAAGGCTTGAATGTGTAAAAGGAGAGAACCTGAATAAGCATATTGGAGCCACTGCAGAAAGTGACAGACAGAAGAGATTTACATAATTTCCTCCCTCTCTCTAAATTCTTCAGCAATAAGGAGCAGCAATAAGTGGGAGATGGTTATTTTTGCTTGTTTTGGAGGTACATCTCCTCTTGATAAGTAAACTTGCTGCAAAACAAGCATCCAGTTTCCACAGTACAGTTAGAAGTTTGTGCCAAGCTCAAAGGTAGACTATAGTATTTATATAAAAAACTAAGTTTTTAGTGGTCCCTGATAGTTATTTTATTGTCATTAAATTCTATACCATTCAGTGACCTTTCAACTAGAGTCACATCCATTTTTGCTTTGCATTTCTTCCTGCCCTATTTTCCTTTTTTCCCCTCCCTCTTTATACCTTTCCACTTACCTTCAATGCACATTTCCCTCCTTGTATTAATTTTCAGTTCTCATTCTGCGTAACCTTCACTCTCAATCTCTTGCCCTTTCAGTCCATGACAGTGATCAGAAATTAAGTAGTTAATGCTGACATCTAAAGCAGCATGCTGAAGTGTTAGAGTCAATCACTCAATTAGATGAATGGGAGTGAGGGAGTTAACATTTCTCCAACCTATTGTTTCAAGTTCTGTGCAAAATGATCCACATTTCCAATGTCTATTTTCTAACCAAGAGAAGCCAACTTTCCTCTTCCCCAGTGAAGGTTTGAATTGTGCAGGATGTGAACATGCCAGGGATGGGTGGGGGTCTGTCTCTGTCTCACACACACACACACACACACACACACACACACACACACACACACACACACACACTTCTGATTTAGCGTAAATATTCAGCATTAACTAGGAAATCCTGCTACAGCAATATGTCTTGAAAAGATTTTGTTAAAAGAGGAGAAACTGCATATTGGCAAAATACAATGTGTTAGAATAAAAACTATTGAGACAACACCAGAGAAAGCAAACCCTGAGATGTATGAGCAGTCTCACTATTTTATTAGCAGATCTCATTATTTTTTAATGTCAGGACCGGGAAAATTAGTTGAAACTATAGTAAAGAATAAAATTGTCAGACACATAGATGAACATAATTTGTTGGGGAAAGTCAACATAGTTTCTGGAAAGGGAAATCATACCTTACTAATCTACTAGAGTTCTTTGACAGGGTCAACAAGCATGTGGACAAGGAGGATCTACTGAATACCATATACATAGATTTCCAGAAAGCTTTTGACAAGGTCCCTCACCAAAGGCTCTTACATAAATTAAATTGTCCTGGGAGAAGAGGGAAGATCCTTTCATGGACTGAGAACTGGTTAAAAGACAGGAAACAAGGGTAGGAATAAATGGTAAGTTTTCAGAATGGAGAGAGGTAACTAGCAGGGTCCCCCCAAGGGTCTGTCCTGGGACCAATCCTATTCAACTTATCTAGTAAACAGTGAGGTGGCAAAATTTGCAGATGATACTAAACTGCTCAAGATAGATAAGACCAAAGCAGACAGTAAAGAGCTTCAAAAGGATCTCACTAAACTAAGTGATTGGGCAACAAAATGGCAAATGAAATTTAATGTTGATAAATGTAAAGTAATGCACATTGGAAAAAATAATCCGAACTATACATACAATATGATGGGGACTGTGACGGGCCGCCAATGGCCCACACTCCGAGTGGCCCGAGCCACCAGGGAACGAGCGGGGCCCCGGGGAC